TCGTAGTGACTGGCACCATAGGCAATGAGGCCACCGACCATGAGCTGAACACCGGTCATGCAGTACCAGAGCGAAGTCAGGACTGCCTGCTCTTCGCGTCGCCACCACATAGCGGTCATGATAATGAAGGCTGGCTGCACACACGATTCGAACATACCAAGTAAGAATCGAACCGCCATCAGTGAGCCGAAGTCCTCCGCAGCAGCAGAGCAAGCAATGACGACACCCCCAGCAAAAGATGTTGACGGAAAGGTACTTGGCCACGGGAAGCTTCTGAAGAAGGAGATTGGTCGGGTATTCGCCGAACAGGACACCCATATAGAGTATAGTGCCGAGCCAACTGAACTGCTGGCCGTGGAGGTTCGCATCTTGCCGAATGCCCATGATGGAGGCGAAGCCTAATGTGCCTTTGTCAAGAGACTGACAGAAGTAGGTGCCAAGCATGCAGACGAGAATGCGTCTGTTGACGGTCCAGAACAACTTCTTGTTGGTCTTTTCGTCGATATAAATGGCTTCAACGCCAGCGTACGCGGCAGTCTATAAGATCAGCTTGGTTCGTCCAGAATCCGCTCGTCATGGGGCATGGGGCTCACCTCTTGGTCCTGGTCAGCATGATGACCATCGATATGCTGAGAAGAAAGCGGAGCGGGCGTGATGGAGTTCTCGTCGGCATCCCGTCGAGTGGCCGTTGGAGCAAAGTCAGATTTGGTGTCGGCCATGGCGAGAGTTTGGCTGTTCAAAGGGCAGAGCAGTTGTGTGCGCCTTGTTTCCGGGTTTTTGTACCCAAGAGAAGCGAAGAGATGCTCTGAAAGCGATGACAATGATCCGAGTCTAGCCCATTGAGACGAAGAAGATCGTCCTGAGGTTTCTTTCTATATTTCGTAACCACTCGCGGCAATGATTCCCTGACGTATACGTCGTGGAACGGTGCGGACATCGGTCCTGACGATGGAACGAAGAGCCGAGCCCACAAATCGAGCAAGGATTATGACCATGTGCACGCTCATGCATGGCGCGTTGAGAAGGAGGGGAAAGGGAGGTTGTGCTGAAGCTTAACCAGGATTGATGCTGTTCGGAGATGCGTCCGGGACTTTACCCGGCGGCCGGAGGTGGTACTGGTGGCCTGAGACGTGGACTGATGGCGGAGATTTCTGGGGATGCGGGGGATATTTCGGGGGGGAGATCCTGGGGTGCTGAAAGTTTTCTCACATCATAACTGATCGGCGCGATCGAATGTCAAGTTGACCTGGGGAAATCCAATTCACGGATGATGTTCAGGTTGAGGGGATGGCTGTTGATGATACACTGAGCGATTGCATGCGCAGCTTCAGGGTGGGCTTGGGGCAAGGACATAATGCACTCCGCACCTCCCCGCAGTCGTGGCCAGGGGTTCGCCTGCCCACTAGTACTAGATCCAATCATCCCCCATAGCCATTCGTTAGTGGGTGGCAGCTGCCCAGCCTGGTGGCCCTCACGTCCGTTGCTTCCCCATACACGGCAAAGAATCGCACCTTCCACCACTTTCACTCTTCCTCAGACGCCAGTACTGATTTGGTTGTCAACTGCCTGAGACATGAGATGGTCGGGAGTTGGAAAGCATCCTCGTCATGCGTGAACTTTCCTCCAACACCACGCTTCACTATCTCGCTCGGTCGCGTCTCCTTTGCTCAATTGCCCATTCGATTGGCAACTTTTTTCCCACTCCGTGCCTCCCACAAAACCACTGTCACATATGGCTGCCGTGGAGGACGATGAGCCCAATTCCAACTCGGCTGGGGAGGACTTCGTTTCCTCAAGGCCAGCTAAAAAGAGACGCCACGACACGGCGCTCAATGAAGCTGCTGATCCCGAGGGACCTGCATGTCAATCGTGTCGCAGAAAGAAGGCCAAGTGCACTAGGCGTCAGCCTTGTTCCGCCTGTGTTCGTTATAGTAGGACCTTGCCCTGCCATCGTGCTTCTTGCTCCCTGTCTTGAAGCATCGCAAAGTCTCGTACCTGACGTGAGTCTTAGACGTCGAGTGCCTCTACGATGACCGAAAGAACAAGCCGGGCCTGAGGACTGGCGCCGTTGAGAACCTTAGCCAACGCGTCGCGACTTTGGAATCCATGTTTCTTGGCCAGGGGGTTCTCTGGCAGCAGGTTTTCAACCAGCTCAGCTCGCTCACCGGACAAGAAGATTCGAGCCCAGGTCGATTGTCAAAAGATCCCGGCTTGTCGCTCCAGGAATGCGCGTCACATCTAAAATCGACACTATCTAACCTGGCAGAGTCCGGCCCTGTCGCCGGGTCTGCCGAGCTCGATTCGTCGCAGTGGCCAGAATTCCTCCAGAACACGGACACCCGCCCGGCGCGAACCAGCGGCGACGCCTGCAAGGGCTGTTCGGTCCTCCCATATCAAGACTTCGCTTCATTGCCTCCGCCAGATCTGATGGACTCCCTGGTCGATATCTACTTCGCGAACCTGCACCCCTGGATACCTATGCTTCATGTTCGTGAATTTAGGGAGCGCATGGCTGATGCCGCCGAGCGCCCTCGGCTGCGAACCGTTTTCCAGGCCATTGTGTCCACTTGTGCTCGGTTTTCAGACGACGCCCGTCTCGGTTCGCCCGAAACAAAGGCGCAAATGGCCAAGAGATACCGACAGGCCGTCATCGTGGAGAGCATGGATTCGTTTTCTGTAGAAAACCTACAAGCACTCATTATTTGCGCTTTCGATACGGTCAGTAGGCTATTCTGTCCCAATAGCAAACGACTGCGTACTGACACGAATTCAGATTGGAAGCGGACGTGGTCCTTCAGCTTGGGTTTGTTTGCCTCGTGTTTTTTCTTCTACAGCTCTCGCTAACAAGAATATCAGTCTATCGTTGGCAGCATGACACGAACAGTAGAACAACTTCAACTGAGTGTGGAAGAAGACCAAACACCGCCCGCGAGAGCATTAATCAAACGAATTGCGTTTCTAAAGCCATGCAAGACTTGGGTCGAACGAGAGGAACGACGGCGTGTCTTCTGGAATACATTTCTTCTGGACCGCTTTTGTAGCATCGCAACCGGCTGGAACTTCTCCTTAACAAGTGCCGACGTCAAGAGGAGGCTTCCATGTGAGGGCGCACTTTGGGAAGCAGGCCATCCTCTGCAGACACCAACGCCGTACTTCGGAGTTGCCGACACCTCAAGTGGTACGAATGGGGCATTGCCAACTGCTCGCCCCGAAGGCGAAGCCCAGGACTCGATAGGTGGGTTTGCTTACTGTATTGAAGCCACGGAAAGCTTGAGCCTCGTCACATCATTCTTTCTACAGCAAGCGGTTGATGTGACAAAGCCACAGGAGGTGCAGATGTGGCTGCTCAAGTTCAAGCAGCTTGACTTGCGCCTGGTCCAGTAGGTTAATCTTTTGGGATTTCCTGCAATTGGAAAACATGAACAGCTCAATTGACTGGGACACAGATGGAAGATCTTCCTTCCGGAGCAATGGCGAGAGGCCTGCGCACTCAATTGCGATGGGATTCTTGACCCCAACCTAACTCTCGCGCACATATCACACAATACGGCTGTGGTTCTTCTACATCAGGGCATCGCGTATCCGGCCCCGGATTGGCAAACGAGCGGCCTCAGACTCCCGTCCGCATCCAGTTCAGAGACATGTCTGGCAGCAGCGACAGAGGTGGCAATCATTGCAGAGAAGTTCTTACAGGGATCAACGGCTCTTACGAACCCTCAGTTCGCATTCTGCTTGTTCATTTGCGGACGCATGTTCCTTGCCCATGCGATATACTACAGCGTTCCATTGCCTCAAGGGTTTGATTCACTGGTCTACAGCCTCCAGGAAATGTCAAAAAGATGGAATGGGCCAGGCGACCAAGTAGATAACCTGGCATCAAAATTCGCACGGCGCCTCGTGCGGGCTCGAGAACAAGGCCATGGTATGCTAGATCTCAGCCATTCCGTTTATTTCGACGAGACAAAACCTGAGGGAGACCCTGCACCCAACGTCCGCACTGAAGTTGCCAACATGCCGCATAGCATGGCAATTGGACAAATCGATCAGGAAAACCAGGACGGATTTGGGCCATACCAGGCAATGAATGACTACGACCAGGACGCTTCACCGGACAGTATTTCCCTCGCTTTTCCTCCATTGCCTGTCTCGTTCTATAATCAACAAGGAAGCAGGGGCCCCACCGCGGCGGCATCGCCAGTAGCAGGAAACGTACTTCCACTGAGCCATCGGTTTGAAAATGGTGCCCCTGTGAATGGTGTGGGGCCTACATCCATGGAAGAGTTCGGAGACCTCAGCACATATCTTGACTACTCATTTCTTCCTGCACAGAGGATTAGCGTCTTCTCTGGGCTGACAGAGAAGAACCCACAAGAATGAGCACGATATCTAAGTCCAAGACGTGGATAATTGAATCTACATTACTCGAACCAAATTGACCCAAACTGAGGTCAGCAAATGATCTATTAGACACCGCCCATCAACTTCACGTCCAGCCCCATCTCTAACAGTTTGTTGCCGAACAGCAAGAAATAGTAATCCGCATAGACCAAACCGTGGTTTGCCCAACGTCGCGGCGCAAACTCATAGTTGTTGATCGTGGCGCCTCCCAGGATCGTCTCGCACTCTGTCCCCATATCAACTTCGATCCCTGCAGTTTCAGTTACTTCGCCCTGTTCCACTGTCTGAATCTTCCTGTTCGTCCTGTGATAGGCGCTTGGTCCAGTTGTGTGCTTACTCGCCACTGCACGCACGATGCTTAACGCATGCTCCAGATACCCTGATCCCTTCCCCAGGGCAACGAAAGCCTCATGGATCAGCAAAAAGCCGTACGCAGCAATCACAGCAGCGCTTGTGTCCGTGGGCTGCGGGCCTTCCCCCGGTGCCCTGAAATCCCAAGGCGGGATACGAGTCACCGGCAGCTCGGCCAGGAAGTACTCTGCGCACGCGACAGCCGTGTCCAGAAACTCGACTTCGCGGGTCCATCCGTACGTCTGCGCGAAACCAGCAATAGCCCACGCTTGCCCGCGCGTCCACGCCGACCCATCCGCGTGACCCTGGTTGGTAATGCGCGCGCGGAACGCGCCCGTCTCGGGCTCAAAGACGACGACGTGGCACGTCGACGAGTCCTCGCGGATGTGGTACATCTGAGTTGTACGCGCGTGCTGAATCGCGGCGGCGTGCATTGCGGCGTCACCAAGCTGAGCAGCGGCCCAAAAGAGCAGGTCGAGGTTCATCATATTGTCAATGATGACGAGGATGCCGTCGTTGGGCGTCAAGAAAGAGTAGCGCTTCGTGATGCAGACATCCCAGGACCGCAAACTGCCAACTTTGACGTCGTAGCGGCTGTAGAGAGACCGTGCCGCCGTCAGGGTTGTCTCGTACGCGCGGGCGTCACGGCGGAGGTCCCAAGCCGGCCGGGCCCAGGGGCAGATCATGAAGCCGAGGTCGTGCGTGTTGGTGAGGAGGGCGTTGGTATGGAGGGTCTCGGTCCACCATTTGCAGGCGAATTCAAGCTGTAATGGATGTGGTTCAGGGTCCTGTTGGTCTGCGGATCCGCCGACGCTAGAGAGGAGCGTACGAAGCCGGTGACTGTATTTCTGCTGGCGTTCGAGGAGCAAGTAGAGGGATCCAGGGAAGAAGCCACTGGTCCAGAAGTCTAGTTCACGGTAGACATATTTGGTGCCGCCTGGCTTGGTGTATTCGGGAAAGAGGGTCGGAGGGTTGGGCTGCGAGGACAGGCGTCAGTACAAGGAGCGCTTAAGGAGATGATGACGGGTGAGACAGACTGAGTTGAAGCCCTGCTGGGCGATGCCCCAAATCTTTGCGGTCACCCGAGGAGAGTAGAGCAGTGAAGCGAGGTCATCGCTCGGGGTGCTCGCGTCAGTGAGCTGCGGCGAGGAGGGTGTTGCCAGCCCAGTTCGCTGCGGCTGAGTGGGCGAGGTCTTGTTTTTCTTCTATACGTCTTTAGCACCAAGACAACTCCGCAAATGGAGCTTTTCATACGGAGGGCGTCTCTTCAATCTTGACTTCGTCAGACCAGCTGCCCTTAGACTGTCCTCTCTTCAACCTTGATCGAGAGTCCATATTCTTTGTTGCTGTTGCTGCGGGAGCCATTCCGTTAATTGTCGAATAACATCAGTCTATGGACGCAAATATTCGAACGACATGTCAGACCAGAGCAGAATGCCCCATCGGAGACTCAAGTACTCCAGACATTGCAACAGCACTTTGTCAGCAGTCGTCTAGATCCGTCGGGCGCGCAGAAGCACCCCAAAGTCTATTCACGGCCAAGCTGGCCCGAGGTTCCGGCGGCATGATGGGACAGCTATCGGGCCGTGATCGAGAGTGTTTAGAGGGACTCGTAATCCTCGCGGCGACAAGTCTGGGTATGTCGGAGGTGTTCCGGCAAATGGGCCGGTGGCCGGAGTGTGCGCCCCCCCCCCCCCTTTTGTGGGTCCATCAACTCAAAGGTTGTGAGGGGCCAGTATTCCCCGATCTGAGGATGAAGGTCTGAAGTGGCATATTCGGGGTCGTAAACGAGATCACGAGTCTCATTTACGAACAGTCTTTACTTCTGTTTCTAAGTTTTATTCTGTCACGGTTTCTCGCGGGTTGTGTAGGGCTGCCAGCTCGGATCTTGGCGCCGAACAGGGAGGACCTGCTCGATGTCATTTACGGTGAGGAAGGGCTCCAGCAAACATCTTGCTCCATACTATAAACCCGCTTTGTACTTCAAGCGGCATTCTATTTTGCTATTGATAATCGGTGACAGATCAACGCTCGACCGCGACCAGTACGTAATACGATCATTGCATGCGACTCCCTCATCTGCCGAGACCTTAACATTTCTTACCCCAAAGATATGTTCTAAATACCGCTGTTAACCAGGCATACCTGGCGGACACTTGATATGACTCAGAGCACTTCAATCTCAGGGGCGTCCCAAACGTGCCAGTTGTCCGAAGCCTTGGGGTTGCCGAAAGGCGCAAGCGCAGCAAATCGCATCCTATAAAGAAGGTCAATCTCGTTATGATACCCACCGAGCACCGCGTCTCGGCAACCCACCATCCTCCGTATGGTGATCTCTCAATTGGGAACAAAAACTCACTTGTACTTGCCCGGGGCGATTATTGATCCGTTGGCCAACCTGCCGAGCCACCACGACTCGTAAGGTGCGTCACGCGACACATCTTGCAGGGGATATGAAAACGTATTGTTCTCGTCGTTGGAAGCCGGGTCGAAGACCGGGTAGTTGAGGTTGTTGTAGACATCAAAGCTGGCCACAGACCCTACGTAATTGTTCTCGCCCACAACTGGGGGATACTTCCACTGGCGCTCGCGGTACGAGGATTCAAAAATCTGGCATTCCGTCAGCAAACAGTTCTCAACAAGAAGTTCGTACTGAGACGAGCATCTGTCCTTTATTGATGACGTACATCCCATCGCAGCTCTCGGGTGCCCCATTGAAGAGCATGCACCAGTTTGACGAAGTCTTGAGAGCCCAAGCTTAGGTCAAAGGTGAAGCTACTCCTCATCAGTGCGGGCTACTTTGCTGGGAAACGTGCGCTGCAACACACCTTGACTTCTGTTTAATATCCGTACGGTTGACACCGGATACGGCTCTTGGGTAACCAACCGACGTGTAGAACAGGTCATCAAACTCGTGCTTGATGCTGGCTCCCACACCAAAGTAAGGAACGGAGAGTGCTTCGGAGTTACTGGCGCTGATGAGGATCTTGCCGCCGAACACGGGAATGCGAGAAGCGTTCAACCCTTCTGGAACGCTGAAAGAGAACCTGCACAATATTACCAACACTGCTTTCAGACTTTTCAGGAATTGCCAAATGGTCAACTTACTTGGCAGTCTTGGTCTGTCCTGGTGCAACGCGGAACGTTCCTGACGGTAGACTAACCTGGGGACGGATCTGAAAGGGCTCAATCTCGACAAAGTCCTTGATCCTGGGTACCGCATATGTATCGGCGCTTGCGGAGTCAATTGTCCAGTACGACTCGAAACCGCCAGCATCCTGGACTTTGAACTGGTATTCAATCTCCTTTTCGCCACTGTTGGTGATATCAACCTGGTGGTACCTGGAGTAGTGGTGCGTGTCGTTGAGCGAGAACTTCTCCCAGGAGAGCTGTGTGTTATAGTTTACGACTGCAAAAGCATCGACCAAGCCAGTACCTACCTGAATAGGCGGCGCCCAGAACCCGTAGTCTTTGGTCGAGCCGTCGGACCAGGGAAGGGAACGGCCAGAGCTGGCGATGCGAGCGTGCAGAGTCTGGGCAAAGGCAGCTCCATGTCTAGCACGACCACCATGCTTTCCAATGTATAGTGCCGCAACGCCGGCAATGTACGGGGTTGCCATGCTGGTACCGCTGATGTCACGGTAACGATGCCCGACGAACGGTGCGAAAATCCTTCCGCCTGGTCCGGCGATGTCTGGCTTGAGCTCGAGGTCGAACGTGCCTTACACAAATTAGCCAGCTACCCTCAAAGGTCTGGTTGTTGTGTTGACTTACTGCCCCAAGACGTAAAGTCAGATGGGCGACCGCCACCAGCATTGACCATAGCTACGTAGTTGCTGTCTTGGTCAATCGAGAAGTCCGCAGTCACGTTGCCGCCGGCGATGACAGTCTTGACGATCGCTTCGCCAGCGTCCTTCGACAGAAGACCCCACTGGCTCTGCTCCCATCCGAATCCAGAGAACGAAACGATAGGAGTGTCGTCCATGTAAAAGAGAATGTGCTTTGCGCCGCGCTCCTGGACCCAGCGCTGCTTCTGCCACGTCTCACAACCCCCAACACGTACCAAGGGAACGGTCTGGGAAAGGTCGGGGAAGTCTTCAGGCAGTGGCTCGCATGCGTCGCCCTCAACAGTGATATTGAGAGTGATGGGGATAATTGGCCAGTCCACAACCGTCGATGGGAATTTGTCCTCAGCGGGACGGTATCCCAGGATGGTTCTGTTCGAGTGCCCGTCAAGATTAAAGGTTCCCGCGAATTGCCGGGCGGCAACGATCGAGGCTTCAACAGAAGCGACGGTCAGAACCTTCTCGGCCGATCCACCACTACTTGCAAAGAATGGACCAACATCGCCGCTGTTGCCGGCTGCGATGGTCACTACAACGCCTTGCTCCACGATGCGAGAGGCAACAAGTGCCCAGGCATTGTTGCTCCAGCCGCCGATAGAACCAACACTAGCTGTGATAATGTCCATCTGAAGGGGGTCAGCTTTGACTCAGTACTTGTGGTTGCACAGACTCACCCCATCTTCATATGCCTTCAGAAATGCTTCGATCAAGACCTCTTCGCCAGTGCCTTCCTGTTATGTTGTTAGTAAGAAATTTTTAACCTGCTCTTCAACGACTTTCATACATTAGGCCCAAACACTTTGTACGAATAGATTGATGCTTCAGGGGCAACGCCGATGAACCTGGTTGATGGTGAGCAAAAGCTACTGGCGTATAAGGAAAGATGCCGATTCAGACTTACTCATCACTTTTGCCGGCAATGATGCCCGCAACATGGGTTCCATGTCCACCGTAATCCATCGGATCGTTGTCGGGCTGTTGCTCCTCTCCGGGGTATGGCCAACTGTCTGTGTCTCTTCAGCGACTCCGCAGAAACGTCTCCGGAGCTGGTACGCACTATTATCACCGACAAAGTCGTAACCACCTGCAACCTTGCATCCTGTTCCAAGACATCCCCCAAGCTAGGCCGCAAAGTCAGTTTGTGTTTGTTCTCAAGTTTGACTCCAGAATTAACCCACAGCGGGATGAGTGTATTCGGTGCCGGTGTCGACGACACCAACCTTGACGCCTTTACCGAAAAGGCCTTGCTCGTGAAGCCTGTCCACGCCCGTCATGTAATGAATAGAGTAGTTGAGAGCCTGAGCATCGTCACTAAAGGAGTCTCCAGCGATGACAGGAACGAGTTGAATGGGCTTCGAATGCCATGCCTTGCGGACGGGCACGATAGCCTCGAGCGAGTCAGTATTCTCGCTGTCGGACTCGATAGCAACGCCCTTGAAGACCTCGGAGTCGAAGACCTTCAGGACGCGGCTTCCAGGACGCTCATTAAGGTTTTTGACTATCGCATTCTTATTGGCGTTCTGGTCGAGCTCAAGGATGAACTTCTTTGGCGCCGTCGCGGTATCAGCGGATGGTGGGGTGTCAGGGTCAAGATCCCGGCGCCTATTTCTGGCAGCACCAGGGCCAGCAAGGGCAAGCACCGAGACAACAGCCGCTGCGATGCGCATCGTACAAAAATAACAATTGAGGACATCGAGATGAACGTCCTCTGTTGCGTATCATGATACTGGCGTCGAGCAGCTTTTAAATTCATCATTGGTCAGAGGCATGGCCAGGGCCAAGACGCAACCCCTCAAGCATGATGAGAATCTTGCCCTTGTTCCTCAGGCGAATTGCCAGTCCCTGTATGCTGCTGCATAAACGAAGTTCATCGTGCGCACATGAGATGCCACAGTTCGTTGCACGAGATCAGGTGGATAGCGATGCAATGTGGGTGACCCTACAGCCTCTAATAATCGCTAGGAGCCCATCCCGAGCTCGTATTCAGGGGATGAGGGGACACTCACTTGTCCCTATTAAGAAGCTCCCACTCCAAGATCCACCTACAAAACAACCCTCTGGTCGACCGTCCCAAGACATCCGAGGTCCGCACATAGCGTAATGCTCTGTACGCTGCTACTTATACATCGCGTGCCTTGATTGACGTGAATCCGCCTTCCTTCTTGAGTTACAAGCGTGCAGCGGAATTGCAGGCGCCCCATCACCGTGAAATGGCAGCAAGTTTTCTGTATCGAATCGTAGACCAAGTCTCGAAATGTTGTGTTGGCGACGCAATAATCTCGCTCAAAAATCCTCAATCGAAGAACAGCTCGTTCAATGCTCTCAGACGCAAACCACACATCAGGGTCGAAATCATGGTGGTACACAGTTCTACAATACGAGAAAGCACATTCGCAATACGATTGATGTGGTCATTAAGATTATCATCAAATTCATTTCTTATGTACACATCCTCCATCCTCATGCTCAGGCGAGAGTCGCAGCGACCTGCGGGATGAGCATCTGCTCAACGTACTCAGGGTTCCTCCAGCCAGACCAGTCAGGGTTCATAAGTCCCCAGGAGTCGTCGAATTCCTGAACACCCTGACGCGTGTAGTAGCGACCCACGATCACCCAAATGAACCAATTGGCCTTGACCTCGGGGAGATACTCGGCCAAGCATGGCTGGTAGACCTTGGTCTTCCAGGAACCGTCCTCCATAGAGTGGCCATACTCGGTCAGCTGGACGGGGAAGACGTTGACAGTCGCAGGGTCGGAGGCGTTCATGGCCTGGAAGCCCTTGTTGTAGAGGTTGTACCTTAGCGAGTCGCAGCTGTTGGTGTTGGTCTCGTAGTTGTGAATCTCAAGGATCAACTTGTCCTCGCCGTAGCCCACGAAGTCATTACGGCTGAATACCTGGTCGCTAGGCTCGAGGGGGGTGCCGCGGAAGACGGGAGTCACAAAGGTGTCGTAGTCGAGACCTGAAAGGATGATGGGGACGTCCTTGTTGGCGGCGTGGACGGCGTCGGCTCCAGCTCGCATGTACTTGTACCAGTCGCGCCAGTTGTAGGACGACTGAAGCAGAGCATCGTTGTTCTTGGGAGGACGGGGTTCGTTGCGCAGAGACTGAGAGATGAGTGCAGGCCATTTCGCAGACTATGAGCAGTCAGTAAGCGGTTCAGTCTCATTTTCGCAGTGTGTAAGCTTACATGGGCGGCCATGTAGGCGCCTCCGCGAACCCAGTTGTCAACATCAAACTTGGTGTCTCCCCACCAGGTGTTACCATCCTCACCACCGCAGCACCACTCGCCAGAAGAAATGTGGTTGTCCAGGGTGATGTAGATGTGCTGGCGCAAGCACTCTGCGGCAATGGCATCGTAAACCTAGTCATGAGATTAGGAAATGCTAGAAAAGCCGGTTGAAGAGATCTTACCTCAAGTCGCTTCGTCTCGGGAGTGAAACTGGGGTTGTTCTTCAGGACCTTTTCCAAGACGATTGTTCCATTTTCAGTGCCTAGACCCTCGAGGAAAGCGGTCTTGATGTCAATATCTTCACCGCCGTTGGCATAGATCTGGTCAACAAGCTCCGTGGCGAAGGTCAATCGGATGGCGTTCATGCCAAGGCTCTTGATTTCGGACAAGATGCGCTCCACAGAAAGGTACTGCAGACCCTCAGGTACCATGACCTCGCCGTGGCCAGGCCAGTTGGTTCCGGCTTGTCTCACGATCTCGCCGTCTGAGTTGTGGATGTCGCGTCCAGAGGTGACGAACGGACCTTTGGGCCAGGCTTTCTCGCACTTTGCGGTGCTGAGAGACATAAGGGAGGCGATAAGCCCGACAGAGATATTGAGAAACTTCATGTTTACTGATGACAGGCACACAATTTGGCCACTGCTGGGATGAAGATGGTGGTCTCCTAAGAGGAAAAGGGGTTAAACAATGCGCAGGGCTCGGGAAGCTTTATAACTCCCTGGATGATCAAGAAGATGTAGCGCCCCGCAGATCAGTTGTACAATGTCAGTCATCTCCCCACATCAGGTCCGTGGAAGATTGAGCTTATTCCGACCAAGACTTTGGTCTCTCCCGGACCGGACCGAAGATCAACAGCTTCACCTAGGCCAAGGTGAAGCTCGACTGGCGTACGTCATGCGCGGGGTAGCAGAATGCTCCGGCCGGTGTGAGTGACGAGTTGGTAATTTATGCTTGTCCAAGAAGGAGTTGGTCTTGGCTGTGGTCCGGCCGGTGCTGCTTGCGCTCTGTGGAGAGTCAGAACCCCAGACTCAAGCTTCAAATTGCTCCGCCCCCGCATGTAGCCCACCCATCGATACCCTGGTTATGGGTGCTTACCCCCATACTCAAGCCGTCTGTCTGATCATGGTGTGGACCCTGTATCTCGGTCGTTTGACTGCCGACAGTTTTCCCTCTGGGGGCAGGGGAAGGCCGAGGCTCTCGGCTCCGTGTTCCCCGGTCGTCTCTGTGGGGAGCCTAGTGCAGATGAGAGATCATCACGACCAAATCAGGTAATTGATAGACCAAAACCGGCGCCCTGAATGGTGCGCAAAAGCAGGCCCGAGTCTGACCGCTCGGCGGTGTCAATCGCTTGTTTGAATTGCTGCCGATGCATCGTGACCGCATCACTGCTCGCTGCTGGAGGCCTAATCCGTTCACTCACCTCAATAGGTCATGGCTTTGCCTATTCCATCAGAGTCCTTTGGGGATAAGAGGGGCCGTGAACTCGTCCGACCCATCAGCTTTCCGGAGTTATCCTCGGGTCACGTTGCACTTTAATCACTCAACAAATATCATGCCAGGCATGGTGGTGGGCTTTCTTCCAATCCACCTTTGGGCCCGAATTTGGGCACCCGGTCGTGCCATCGTCGTGAGAGTGTCTGTAACCCCATCGCCTATAGATGTATGATTTGTTGCTGCTTTCGTAGTTGTAATCCTTTCACATTCGGGCATACGAGGCATATCAAAGGCGCGAAACATCTCAATCGCCCTTATGCCCTGACGAGAAGCCAATGTTATACCTTTTGCCTGGCTACTGGAGACTTCCCTCGGATATGCATGAGCTTAAGAAGTACATACCAACATGTTGGCATCTGCCGTGAGTTCTGTTGATGATGAGATGACCATTCTGGCCCGTGAACTGGTCTGGATGCTGCGACATGTTCTTGTCCTTCAGTCTAGATCTTTTCATCCAACGCACAATTCCCTTTTAAAAATTCGAATTTGCAAGAGAGGGCGTCGAAACAGAGGGTGAAGACGATTCAAACTCAGACTTACTCGAGATACGTAACACCAACTTCCTTTACGTGTAGGAATCTAGGTGTACTTTGTGCTTCAAGCGCTGGTGAAAGCGCCACGAGGTGGTGTACATCGTTTTGAGTCTTGATTGGTCATGGTCCTGAAACTTTAGCTCAATAACCACATCGGGGCGGCTGATGATCAGATGCTTACAGAGAGTAATGGTGAAGCTAACAGATGTGTGAGGATACTCTTACTGCCGAAATAACCGCGCACGACATCCTCCCATGTCAAGGCCGACAGACTATGTCACAGAGTAGCTGTGAGCATAGTGCATGGGTATCTCACAACATTGCGACGCGGTCAACTATGATATAAGGGCAGAAAGACATCTGGAGCTCACGTCCTCGCAGCCACGGAGATCTACGTGGCAGTTGTTTAAATATACCACTTAAGCCCTCGTGTCCCGGGCTCAGCCTGCTAGTACTCCAATTTCAGCTCTAGGCAGGCACAATTAACGAACTATGAGCACGCATGGATTCAATCAGAGAAATGCGCCCTGTCTAAATACGGACGCACGATCATTTCAGTTACATCGTGATGTTCGTGATGTAGAAAAGAACATTGTCAGAGGTCAATAGCTTTGTCGATTTAGGGACGGTCCAATCTACCGAGAGGCACCCCCGCGTCTCGCAAATATGCATGAATCCCTAATCAGCTACTACATCTATTACTCTGTTCATCTTCGATCTACTGCACGCGTCTGCAGGCTGTTCAACAATTGCTAAATTGCTCGAGTGAACGAGACCGCGTTGACCTTGTATCCGTCGTCGCGGCTTCCTCAAGCTTTCGGTGCCGATGAAACGCTACCAAGGCAGCCTTCTTGGCGAATTTAGATGACCCCTGAAGATGTTGTTTATCAGGGTCCGAATGTGGGGAGAGTGGCAGGTCGACTCAGACATGCGATGGCCTGCAATCGCCCGCCATACATAAAAATTGCCTCTTTGAGACTAATGTCACCAATCCAGAATTTGAGAGTCTTGGGGAATGCCGTCACCCTCCTAGCGTCTAACCGATTCTGGTTTCACTCAGTATGCTGTGCTAACGTTTAGGTTCTGAAATAAATGCTCATTGTTGGTGACAAGTCCCAGAATAGCAACAGTTGCTGCCTGCCACTGGTGGTTCGGTAGGCTCCCTTAGTGAGGATACGAGCGTCCCCAACACGATCCACAAGCCTCACGCTGGTGGCAGTGCTGAACTTGAGAACAATGCCATGTGGATCATGCTCAGACGTCACACATGGAAAGAGGGAGCACCGAAACTCCTGGGGTCGGGTTGCAGCATATACTGCCACAGCTATCTGAGGGCAGGCAGTCAATGCAACACGCCGGAGCCACTTATTAGTGGCCATTCCACTCCCGGCGTACGTCGGGAGAATCGGCCGGAACAGCGGCATTGATACGAGAATTCTGTCTCAGCGGGTACTAGCCCTTCGCCCAGTCAAACATCGATCTTTGGCAAAGCAGTCGTAATGCGACCTTCATTCGCACTCCATTCTGATTCTAGTAATCGTCGCAAAATCAGAATTACCCCAGCTATTCTCATTCCTATAATGCCAAGCTTCATGAACGGAAGACGCAAATTACTGGATATTGTTGTACAGATTGAGCCAATCAGGCAGACGCAATAATTCGAACCAAAGTCACTGCTCGTGCTCTCAGCTGATGTTCTTTCTGGCAAGCTTGACTCGTGTTTCCACCTTCGCCTGCCTCCCTACCTTAGTGCCGGGGTTTGACTTCAAATCTCGTTGGCGTCGGGCAGGTTATGCTGCTGCCTAGACACCTTTCTGATGCCGTGTGATGCGGTGATCAGACCTAAACTGTAGGCTTCATTCGGGGCCGAACTGTGTCTCTGGACAGTGTGAAATTTACGTACTCAGGATGTGCGACCAAATCGAGGAATACCAAAGTACGACTCTCTGGGTGAGAAGGCACACCCGTAACTGTGAACACTTACTAGATGAACAAGAGGCTCCCTCGTGGGGAGAGCGCAAGCTGAGTCGCCTACATGTACACCGCGGCTCCTCGGCTTCAGGAACATAGACGCGGACCAGCATGTTTCGCGAGTGTGAGTAGAACTAACGCGTTGACGGACCTGACAGTGGCTGAGAGTAGTTCCTTGTGATAAGTCGCAAAAAAGCAATACGATCGCAATATTGGAGGTCGAGCCATGGCCCCACGCACTTGACGCGTACGCAATATCATACCCTTCCCATGGGCAACATTCCGCCCTACTTGCCGCTTGCCGCGTCACAAGCCATCCAACGCCGTGAGGAGGCCGACGGCTTACACTGCTGAGTGGAAAGGGGGGGGTTTGTATAAAGGAGCCCCCCAGTTTGACCTGCTCTGCTCATAAAATACTCACCCACCGCAGCACACCGACTCCATATCACACATCTATACTTCTCCACGCTCTTTCAACATGAAGCTCAACTTCCTCCTCGCCGCGGCCTTTGCCATTCCCGCCCTGGCGACCACTACCACCACTACCACCACGGCTGTCGAGACTAGGTACGTTTAGATCCTACGGGACTCGTCGATGGGCTTCGACGGCTAACAACAGTCTCCTACAGATCCTCCACCCACACTGCCACCGGCACGCAGGCGTCCGCCAGCGCCAGCAAGGCCACCGGCTCCTCGTCGACCCGCCGCACCAGCAGCTCCAAGGCAGCCGCCCCTACCCTGGGCGTCAACATCATCGGAGCCGGTATTCTCGGCGGAGCGGCCCTCTTCGCCCTCTGAGCACAGACGGGGACTATTTATTTTAATTCCCTGGTATTATGGTGCCCCGGGGCCGGGCCCACTTTTTTTGGTAACCCCTGGGAAGCTTTCAGGGGCAAGAAGTTAAGAAGTCCGCGAACAAAAAAAATAATTGCCCCTTCAGAAAACCCCGTTCCGGGAACCTTGCTGGTTTGATGCCGGGACGCGGCTTGGCCCCC